TCCCGCCCAGGCTGGGCTGCCGGCGGCGGGCATCCCGGCGCCTGCCCCCGAGCTGGAAGAGAAAGTGAAATGAAGCGCCTTTCCCTAGTCAACACTTACCCGTCCCCAGTCCTAGTACAGCTGCCTCGCTCCTCCAGCGCCGCCAGTCCCCGCCCTCGGGCCCCTGGCTCCGTTCTCTTGACAATGGCGCGTCCCCTTTAAGGAATAATCCGAACGGAACCGACCTTTGGTTAAACCTCCCTCCGACTCTGATTTTAACCGGATTTCTCTCTCGCTCTCTCCCAAAGCCCGACGGCCACCCGGCTGTGCTGCGAGCTCTTCCCACCCCTTCCCTGCCCCGCCCACCCTCTGGCCTTCCTGATTGGCGAGAGACACTACAACAGGAACACAGTCCTCCCCCTCCACTGGCCTGGCCAGCCGCCGCTCAAACTTGCTCCCACCTTCTCCCCGCCCCTTTTCCCGGGTTGGTCCTCCCTCTAATCATTCTCTGCCCTCGCCTCAAATGTCGCTTCGGAGCAGTGGCTCACCCTCCCGCCTCTGGAAAGCGAACTTTATTTTTATTGGTGAAAGGACATCTTCCTGTACACTTGATTGGGCAAGGAAAGAGCTAGTCTGCACGCCCCCTACCATTATTACTCTCCCTTTAGGGGCTTGAGAAACACAGCCGCAAAGTCCTCCCCGCTTTGCCTGCTAGGAGCGACTTTCCCTTTAAATGTTGTTAGGGGTCGAGAACAAACTCATATCCTATATTGAGGAAAGCTGGAAAGGGATAAGAGAAAAATTCGAAATTTTCTCCCGATGAGTAATGTATCCAGAGCTGGTGCCCGGATCCTGCGGAACCTTATCCAATGATCCAGTGAATGGAATGATTAGAATTGAGTTAGAATACCTGAAAGTCCAGTGCTAATTCGTCCTGAGATGTACTCAACAAATTTCATCCACTGTCCGCTCTACTCATACCATTGATTGCACTGGCATTTTGCCACCCGGAAGAGCTTTAATCAAGTTATCTGCAAACCTGGAGATTTCCTGGCTTGTCTCGCAATTGTTAATTTAGAAAATCATTTCCATCACAAGTTCCGTTTAAGTCACGTCTTCTGTGACGTTCCGGCGTTTCCACGAGACCTGCTACTTTTTTGAAAAAATTAAGTAGATGGTACCCTTATGCCATCCTCAAAGTGTAGGACTTCGTTCCCCCTTGCTAGAACTGTAGGAAAAACACCCCAGGTCAGTTGAACCCAAGAGGGTACCATACGGCTGTTTCTTGAACGACTGAAGTGCTTCTCAGAAGAAAACACGTCTCTCTAAGGGAAAGAGGGAGTCTGATACCAGAAGCTGGACCATGGAGCGGAACCTCACCCATTGAAAAGAGAAGAAATTATGGGGAAGCCTAGTGCGGGGTCTGCATTAGAGTTTCCCCAGTTTCCCATGGAAGCTGTAAGAACTAAAAGGTTTATTTCCGCTAAAATTGAGTACAGGTACAGCTTCGGTACCCATCTAAGAAAGTTAGTGGAAAATGGTTATGTGTTCTCTCCCTCCTTGCGGCTGAAGCTTGGAAGACTGTGTACTCCGGGGAGTTTAGTACATTTGCAGTGACACCCACAGTAGAATCTAATGATGCCAAGGAAGTGTCAGTACCCTAGAAAAGGGGCTTGATGATGACAGAGAAGGGTAAATAAACATCAGTTGGTAGTCCATAGGACTTTTCCCCAAGTACAGGTGAAAAATTTCATGAGGATTCCCAAAAATATGAAAGAGCAGGAGACAAAAGGGAACGTTGCAGGAAGGTGGTTTAGGTTTCACTAATGGGGGCAAGAGACAATGAACCATCTGGGTTGCATTTATATGACCTTCACAGATACACACATCCTCCCTATTAAGTCCCTGTAACTAAACCCCTATGCTTGGCCTATTCTGATTGTACTGTATATTAAAACTGCAGCCAAGCTAAACTAATACTTCTGGTTTACTCATTTACCACTCTAAAACTTTGAGACTGCTTCTGGGTTCTAATATTCTACATTAGAATATAAGAAGAAGAAGATTCTATGTACTGATATCTAGTACGATCTTCTGGAGATAAAGATATCCAGTATTTCAGGTATGTACATGCCTGCAGCTTTTGTTCAAGGTCTAGGTGATGTTTTCAGGTTCTTTCTAAAACACCTGCCCTATGATAACCAACTTGTTGCTGCCCTCTTTAGCTGCACTAGCAGACTGGGCAATTAAACTAGAGAAGGCAGTCTACAGTAACCTCTAGATTCTCTTACTTGTGTTGAACCAACTATGCTGAGATCATCACCTTTCAAATATAAATTTGTGTTATTCTTTTCTCTAAATATTTCATATTTGCCCACAATAGGATCATTTATCACTTTTTAGCCCACACATGCAACTTCCTGGTACTAATACTCCTACTGGCATTTCACAGCAAAGAAGAATTTTAAAAATCTACAAACCTGGAGCTTACAATGTACAGGTTATTCTTAAGAATGTTCAGTGTTGATGAACACAGCCCCAGTTCTAACCCTGGAGAATTTTACAAGTTGTACTTTCTCATTGAGAGAGACTTTATCTCCCTACCTTAGTTTCCCATTCTAAGCCCAATCCCCACTCCTTAAAAAAAGAATATTTCTCAGCTGGGTGCAGTCGCTCACGCCTGTAATCCTATCATTTTGGGAGGCCAAGGCAGGTGGATCACTTGAAGCGAGGAATTCAAGACCAGCCTGGGCAACATGGTGAAACCCCGTCTCTACAAAAAATACAAAAATTAGCCAGCAGGGGTGGTCACAGGCCTGTTATCCCAGCTACTGGGGAGGCTGAGGCAGGAGAATCATTTGAACCTGAAAGATGGAGGTTGCAGTGAGCCAAGATTGCACCACTGTACTCCAGCCTGGGCGACAGAGTGTCACTCTGTCTCTCTCACACACACACACACACACACACCCTTCTCCAATGTGCTAATGCAAATAAAGCTTTTTAAATTCTTGTATATAGATGTTTGTTAAAGTCTTCTAAATGGTGAAATACAGCCGGGCACAGTGGCTCTCACCGGGCCAGTAATCTCAGCACTTTGGGAGGCCGAGGCAGGCAGATCACCTCAGGTTCGGAGTTCAAGAACAGCCTGGCCAACATGGTGAAACCTCGCCTTTACTAAAAATACAAAAATTAGCTGGGTGTGGTGGCGCATGCCTGTAACCCCAGCTACTCAGGAGGCTGAGGCAGGGGAATGGCTTGAACCTGGGAGACAGAGGTTGCAGTGAGCTGAGACTGCACCACTGCACTCCAGCCTGGACGACATAGCGTAACTCCGTGTCAAAAATAAAAAATAGAAAAAAAAAGTGAAATATGTTATGATCACTATTCTCCCTTTTTATATGCAAACGTACTACCCCTCAAAGAGGTACCATAGTTTAACTAGTAATTATTTTTCCTCTGAAAAATTGTGTTACCATTCCTATTGGAAATTCTTTCCAGTTCACCACACATTTATATAACGACTACTATGTGTTAAGAATAGTGAGAAAATGGGGGCCAGGTACAGTGGTTCACGCCTGTATTCCCAGCACTGGGAGGCTGAGGCAGTTAAATTGAGCTCAGGAGTTTGAGACCAGCCTGGCCAACATGGTTAAAACCCCGCCTCTACTAAAAATACAAAATTAGTTGGGCGTGGTGGTGCATACCTGTAATGCCAGCTATTTGCGCCCCTGTAATCCCAGCTACTTGGGAGGCTGAGGCAGGAGAATCGCTTGAACCTGGGAGGTGGAGGTTGCAGTGAGCTGAAATGTCGCCATTGCACTCCAGCCTAGGCAACAAGAGTGAAACTCCGTCTAAAAACAAAAAGAATAGGGAGAAAATGATGAATATGTATCCATTCTCCAGAGAGTATCGGTCATGAATCTCCACTTATAAGGGGCACAGTTTTTACCCTTTATTTCCTTCAAAGCTCATGTGTGGAGACTATGTATTCACCAGGGATTTTTCTATAGTAAAATTTTTTAAAATTCAGAGCATGGTGTGGTGGTGCACACCTGTAATCTCAGCTAGTGGGGAGGCTGAGATGGGAAGATTGCTTTGAGCCCAGAAGTTCAAGGCCAGCCTGGGTGACATAGCAAGATCCTGTCTTTAAAAAAAAAAAAAAAAAATCCAACTAATAGAAGCTGTCAACCAAAATCACTTCACCTGTCCCATTAATATTGACAAGAATAAGTTAAAAGAAAATAAGTACACAGTAGTTTTATTTAATGAAAAAACTTCAGGAAATATTTCCTCAGTCTCCTAGGTCTCCTAGAGGAGGTCCAAGTACTTCACTCTCTAAAGTTAAATGTCTTGCTTTGTAAAATGAGAACTGATATTCATTGAGTATGTCATTATTGGTAAAAAGTTCAATTGTGTTCAGTATATGTCACCTACTGGGTAGAAAGTGGATATTAATGCATTTTTAGAAAGCTTTCCAATTATCTCTTGCTTAAAACCCTTTAGAGATTTCTCTAGGCACATTCTGAATATAAACACCACAGCAAAACATACAAGTATCTTTATAATCTGACTATGGGCTTCTTCTCAAATTTCTTCTGTGACCACTCCCTCGTTTGACACTGTAAGTGTCTGTTCTCTCAATATCAACTATCATGCTCTTTCAAGCTTCAATGCCATTCCCTTTGCGTAGAATAGCTTTCCCCTCTTTGCTCATCTGCAAGTGATCCACCCACCTCGGCCTCCCAAAACGCTGGGATTACAGGCATGAAGCCACTGTATCCAGCCTCTTTGCATCTGTTTTAAAGGATGGTTTAGAAATTAGAATATTCCTGGTCAGATGTGTTGGCTCATGCCTGTAATCCCAGTACTTTGAGAGGCTGAGGCAGGTGGATCATTTGAGGTTAGGCATTCTAGAACAGCCTGGCCAACATGGTGAAATCTCATCTCTACTAAAAATACAAAAATTAACAGGACGTGGTGGCACAAGCCTGTAGTCCCAGCTACTCGGGACGCTGAGGCAGGAGAATCGCTTGAACCGGGGAGGCGGAGGTTGCAGTGAGCCGAGATCATGCCACTGCACTCCAGCCCAGACAACAGAGTGAGAAGTAAAAGGCACTATATAAATAAAGACACCTATTTCAGTTTAACCCCCTGTGTCTACCTATTACTAAAAATATCTTTGAATTCAGGACCCAAGAGCATATAAAGTGGTTTTCAGATTAGACTGTTTAATTATTTAGAGGAATAAACAGTTCATCTGTTACTGCTCTTTTTCTTTCTTTCTTTCTTTCTTTTTTTTTCTTTTGGCTTTGAGATAGGGACTTTCGATGTTGCCCAGGCTTATCTAAAACTCTT